AGATGTACCGGGAGGCACCCATTGACAAGAAAGGCAACTTCAACTATGTGGAGTTCACCCGCATCCTCAAACATGGTGCCAAGGACAAAGACGACTAGGCCACTCAGCACCCTGACACCCCGGCCCCTGCCAGTCACCCCTCCCCACACACACTTATCCATACCAGCTCCTTGCCCATGACCCTCACTCAGGGATCCCCCCTTTGATGGGTTAGGGTCCCAGCTCCCATGGAGGAAACAGGCCAGGAGATGCACGTGCCGGGCTGAGGCAGGTGTTCCCACCATGACCCCAGAGCCCTGGGCTGGAGTCTCTGACCCCTCCAAGGAAAGACCACCTTCTGGGGACATGGGCTGGAGGGTAGGACCTGGAGGCACAGAGGAAAGGCCCCATTCCTGGGCTGCTCCCCGAGGAGGAAGGGGCCCTGAGTCCTGGGATCAATACCACTTCACGGGCACCCCCACACAAACAGAAGCTCACCAAGGTCCCCTCCCTATACCCTGACCGGCCACTGCTGCACATCCACCCAGAGCACACCACCTGCCATGGGAGCATGCTCAGGAGTCACGGGCAGCATGGACATCTGCCCCAAAGGAGGCAGAATCTCCAATAGAGGGCTGAGCACTGCTTCTGGTCTGTGTGTCTGTGGTTTGGGTAAAATAAGGGGACCCCAGGCCTGAAACCCCCTCCCACCCTCTCCTGCCATCCCAGATTCTGCCCTGCTCCTCCCACCCTGGCCTTGGGAAGGCTGGGCATCCTCCAGCCATACAGTCCCCAAAGCCTCTGGGGACTAGAGTCTCTAGTATGGGGGCTCTGTGCTCAGCTGATATCAGACGGGGGTAGGGGACAGAGGGAACGGGCCTGGTGGCCTTCTCAGGGCTTGTGGGAAAGGCAGGACCATGGGAATCACCATGTCCAATCCCATGGAGGGTTCCAGGCCTCTGGTCGGGCACAGGTCAGGCCACAATGCTCTCACGACTAGAGCTCTGGGTCCCCGAAGAACAGGGAGGCTCCAGGAATAGTGATGAGGCAGGCATCCCAGCAGCTTAGGGTTGGAGGTGGGAACAAGGGGTTTCCCAGCCCTGAGCAGCTGGTGGGTGAGGTCAGTCCCAGGACCAGCAACACGGCTGCCACAGCTTTCCACATCCCTGTGTACGTATAGCAGGCAGCGCGGGGATCCCTGCTACTAGTGGATGATGGGGACACTGTCAGGGCCTGAGGGGTAGAAAGAGTGGCTGAATGACTGAGCAGAGAGCCCAGAGGGGCAGGGACTGCCTGGGTCACCCACTGGGCCTGGGGCAGAGTGAGGACTGGACCCACCCCACTTGACCCCAGCAAGCGGACCCAGCTTGGTCCTGAGGACTTCTCCAGAGGTCACCCAGTGTAGACAGCTGCAGCACTCAGCAAAGGTCCCAGATCAGTGCCAAAGGGGAGCTGAGCACCAGGAGACCCCGCGTCTGACCGGGAGGCCCTAACCTCCCGCAGGCCTTAACGCCAGGCCCTGCTCAGAGCCTGGGTGAAACTCCTTATCCTGGCTCCAAACAGAGCCCCAAAAGTCCCTAATCTCAACTCCAGAAGGGGCAAGCCCCAAACAACTTCCAAACCAGGCCCAAATAGTATCCCAGGCTCAGTCCCAACCACAGCCTTGCCCCTGGCCACAGACTGAGGGCCTCCAACTACACACACAGCCCTGCGCGATGCTCAGCCTGGCCACTCATTCGATGCTGCCAACCTGAGGGTATTGGGGGGGTCTCAGGATGTCCCAGGGCACTGGCCACACATGCCTGACACCAGGGTCATAAGGTCCTCTCAGCAGAGCCACTGCAGCACCAAAGGCCTTTCTAGAAGGAGGCAAGGACATGTCATCTAGAGGCCAAGCCCTAATGTGCAATTCTGTCACAGCCCACCCCCTCTACCCCAAGACAGAAGAGCTCACATTCAAGCCGGAAGAGGTCAGGACCAGTCCAGCCTCATTGGCTTCAGAACTGGACTGGGGCTACCAGGACCCACAGGAAGGGAAGAGGAACGTGCTCTGGGCAGGGCAGGGCAGGGCAGGGCAGGACCCGCAGCACCAGCAGGCCAGCAGTAAAGACTCCCAGAACTTTCTAAGTCGCACAAAACCCAGAAGACACAAAAGAAAAAGACTCATGGATTTAAATGCATGAAGTCAAAATTATTTTTGTAGGGCTAAAGAAACCATAGCAAAGTTAAAGCCAAATGCATACTGGGAGGAAATATCTGCAGCATATTTAACAAAACAAGACTTAATACTATAATCTCTTAAAGCTTCAATAACGGAATCAGAAAGACAATGCGGTAGGAAGAAATGGTAACACAAAAGGAATCTAAGAAGAAATACATACACTTCATAAACACATTTTAAATACTCAGCAAATATGTTTTTTTTTTTTTTTTT